CNNNTNNAAGCGCGCGACTGGTGCGCGAGCGAAGTGACGCCGCGAGGAGGAATGACGCGCCCGCGACGGATACGATGGGCCAGTGCGTGACGGGAAGCAGTGGCACGGCAGGTGCCGGGGACGCGCCCGAAGAGTTCGCCGAGGACGCGTGCGCGAGCGATACGCGTAACCGGCAGGCACGCGCGCTGAGGGGCGACGCGACCTTAGTCCTCGAGGACTAAGGCAAGGCGCGCGGGCGGTCGGGGCGTGAGGCGGCGAGATTAGGGTTGGGATGTTTGGCTTGGAGTGCAAGTCAAGACTTCCCAAGATCCCTTAGATATTTGGTTTCCTTATTCTATTATGATTTCTAGATTGTTTAGGACTTTAATATTTTATTGCTTTAATTAGTGATTTAGTTCCTTAGAACTTTATTTATTTTCAAGCATTAGGAGTTCTTCTTAGATTAGGAATAGACTTAGTTTGGCACCTATGAATAGGCCCCTTTGTCATTCGAAATAATCATCAAGAAATTAATAGAAAAAACGAACTTTTGTTCAAACACTTTGCCTTAGATATACTTTCGATTTCTTTTGCAATTTTATCGTTTCAAGGGGTGCGGTTGTGCAAACCTCGAGACACCTATCGGCGATTCAAGACACTGGTTTGTGGCTTATCGACAATCGGGACACGCGATCTTCATCATTGGTGCTTTCATTGAGAGTATCTAGATCGTGTGTCTTTTCCTACCCCATTCCCTTTCTTTTTCTTCCTCTTATTTTCGTTCCCCTATCAAAAAAAAAAAAAAAAAAAAAAAAATCAAAAAAATCTTCAAAACGAGTCCACGAAGCAAAGAGAGAAAACAAGAGAAGAAAGCCATGGCTAACAAGGAGATGAAGGACAAGATTGATAATCTTGACGCTCAAGTCCGAAGTATGAGCGAGGACACGACACGACCAAGTCTACGGTTCGAGATCTAATGGAAACCGTGAATCGAGGATTCGAGGAGATGGCGCGCGGCTTCCAACGCTTTGCGCGGTCACCTCCACGGCAGCCAAGGAGCGATCGACCCGAGGAGGAGGGAGCTAGGCCCGATGAGCGCGAATACGAGGAAGACTTCGATCAACGGTCACAGGCGTCTAACGCACACGACCGCCCGAGGCTCGACAAACCGCGGCTCACGCTATCCACCTTCACCGGTACCGATCCCGAGGCATGGCTCAACCGGGCCGTGCAATACTTTGAGCTCAACGAGACCGAGGTTAACGACCGTGTTCGATACGCGGCCTATTACTTAGATGGCGAGGCCAACGTGTGGTGGCAATGGCTCACGAATGTATACCGCAAACGACAGCGAGCCATTAGATGGGAAGATTTCGAGCGCGAGTTACTCACGCGTTTCGGGACCTCCAACTACCATAACTACGATGAGGCCCTTTCGCGCGTACGCCAAACCGGCAGTCTGCGCGATTACATGAAGGAGTTCGAAAAGTTGGCATGTCACGTAAGGGACTGGCCTGAGGCTGCATTAGTCGGGGTATTTATTGGCGGGCTTAAGTATGATCTAGCCGCAGAGGTTCGATTGGAGCGGCCCGAGTCGATGCATGCAGCCATGGAGATCGCCCGACGTCGCGACGATCACCTCGCCGCTACGCGAAGGGGACGGGCGGACGCACGCTTTCCCGAGCCACGGCGCACGACGAATATCGCGCCCAGCATACGGCCACCAAGTAACGCTCGACCACCTATCCCGGAAGTCAAGCGTCTGTCGCTTGAAGAGATGAGGCGCCGACGCGAGCAAGGCCTGTGCTTCAAATGCGAAGAGAAATTCACGCCGGGCCACCGATGCAAGCAGGCGTTTTTAATCGATGTCACGGTCTCCGATAATGAGGAAGAACCCGAGGTTGAGGAGAGCGAGGT